ACATTATAAGATTGATGATAAAGTTGAAGATATTCTTAGTGATATATTAACTTCTCACATTTCACCATTTGATAATGGATGGAAAGTTAATAATGAAGAAGGAGACATTTATTATGAAGATGAAATAAGAATTATGAACCCTCTTAAATATAAATAGAAACTAAAAAAAAAATGAAGAAATAATAAATATTAACTGTTAATTTTATATTTGCATTATTTTTATGCTAAATTTTTATGAAATTCTATTTTTTTTACTTTATAAATTTAAAATTTTAAAAGAAATCTAAAGTGATAAAATTATATACATATATAAAATACAATATAAATAATAATTTTACCTAATATAAAAAAGTAATAAATTTTTTAAAAAATGGTTATAATTGTGATTGTTTAAATAAAATTTCCAAAAGCTTTATCTAAATTAGAACAAGATATATGAGAGGTGATCAGAAAAAGGGAAATCTAAATTTTGGTCAAAATTTATATTATTGGACTACTTGACTGATCTCAGTCACAAATTTAGCTTAATAATAAAAATTAACAAAAATTTTGGATTTCTTCCTTTTCTACTGACCACCTCCCATATTTTTAATATTCAACTTAAAGATAAAAATTATAAAATAATAAATAATAATAAATGTCTTAAAAAAAAAATTAGAACTATTAAAAGAATATTTTATTATTAGGATCATAATATATCATTTCATCAGAAAACATATTTTAATATATTAGGAATTGGTCAAACTTATTTTGAAAAATTAGAAATCATTTATAATAAATAATAAAGAATTTATAATAATATAAAAAAAATGTTACAATAAAAGACCAAAATAGTAATAGATAAAATGTTATAAAAGCAATTAAGAATTTTATATTAAAGTTCATAAATTACCAAATTCTGATAGAAATGTTAACTAAATTATCTAATCATTATATTTTTACTAGTAAAAATTAGATATAAATCAATTTATTGTGACTTTTTTGCAGGTTTTAATAAGATAGCTTATTAAACTTATTAAAATATAATGCATTTTATAAGTTATATTTAAATTATAAATCAAAAATAGATTTAGAATAGCTTATAATATACCCATAAGAAGGAAGAAGCAAAAGATTTATTAATAAATTACAAAAATATCTAGCTAAGACTAAGTTAGAGGAAAATTATTATAATTAAAATATAAAATTAGTAGCAGAACAAAAAAAATTGGTAAATAAAAATTATTTTGTAGTAGGTAGCAGTCTTATAAGACTGCTACCTACTTGCATTATACTGTTATCTACTTATCATTATACTGCTACCTACTTATGTTATACTACTACCTATTTATATTATAATGATACCTACTTTTTTGTTTTCGATTCTCTGTGATCTTTTTATTTCATTGTAGCTATCTACTTATTTTCATTATTCTGTGATTTTTTTGTTATTTTGTAGCTATCCACTTGATTTTATTTCTCTGTTCTCTTTTTATTATCAAGAAACTATTTATGTGTTTATAATGATTTACGCTCCTTTTGTTTCTAAAGAGCTATTCGCTTATTTTTCTGCTTCTGAACCTATTTGGTTATCTATTAAGATATCAAGAGTGCTTCTTTTTTGTGCCTATTTGGTTGCCTTTTATAATACTGAAATGGTATAAAAAAAAGAGGCGACAGGTGGGATGGTAGATTTGCGATTAATTTTGGCCGGCTCTATGGTATAACTTTGGCTGATCTTTTAGGCATGTGATTTGGGAATCCAGCTTGGCGTCATTATGGTAACTTGGTGGTATCCTGGAACTACTGTGGAGCTGTTGAAGAACTGGTAGGGAACTGGCAGAGTATCTGAGAGGTTCCATTTATTTGCCAGTTTTAGTCTACTTATATGCCAGCTTGGATGCTGAGTTATTATGCTCATAGTTCTGACTGAAATTATGAAATAGTGTTGGCTGACATTAAGCGAATAAGTCTTATATGAAGGCTATACCATACCGAGTACATATCTAAAAAGATGAAGGCTTCTTCCAATATTTTATATAATGATTACAGAGAAGCCTTCATTTTCAAATACATATCTGTTTCTCTTTTATTTACAATTTGCTTACTAGATTATTGTATATCTCTTTTTTTGAAAGACAAAAAATAAATACGCCAATAAAAGTACCTATACCTGGGTACATACTAGTATTAGGGTAATCTTTTTCCATTATTTTATATAATATTTCTGAAGAAGACTACCCAAAATACATATACCCGATTCATACTAGTGTTAGGGTAGGCAAGTTCTATTATTTTATATATAGATACTGAAGTTACCTACCCTTAATACATATAAGTCTTCTGCCATTTTTATATAATATAATTCTGCAAAAGACTTATCTTCTGGATGTATATCCGAACACATATAAGTCTTCTGCCATTTTTATATAATATAATTCTGCAGAAGCCTTCATGCCACATCTGACTACATACTAGTGATAGGATAGGAGATGAAGGCTTCATTTCCAGATACATATCTGTTTCCCTTTTATTTACAATTTGCTTACTAAGTTCGGTGAAGCCTTCTTCCATTTTTATATAATATAATTACGGAGAATACTTCATTTTTCAAATACAGCTGGACGCCCTTTATTCTATAATTTGCTCACTAAATTCATCATAGCTTCTTTTCATATTTATCAAAAAAAATAATTAAACATTTCCGATTTATATAAAGTTATATAATTCCTTTCAAACTGATAACATGTATACACCAATTATTTCTGACCAAACTGATCGCATTGGATCTGGCATAACGCTCGCCCGCTACGACAGCGCTGAGTCTAATGAATATTTAAGTGACTCTAGCAGTTGTACTGATAATGGATCTAACTTAAGGTCAGATAATTATAATAACTACGAGTCTAATTATGAGTCAGATAATGAAGAAGCTCCCTACGTCTCACCCAGCATTACTATGTCTCAATCAGTTCAACTACTAAATGCAGATAAGCAAAGGCTAATGTGACATACTCTTTAAGACAAAAAAAGTTCAATGATAAATTTTCTCCTAAAGATTTGGTAAGTGCTATTCTAGAAATTCTCTCATCACCGCCTAGAGATATATCAGATGATAAAGGCTCATTGGAATATCTCCCAATCTATTCATTTCTCTTTTCAAATATAAAAGGCTCTAGTTTATATAATGCCTATGACCAGGATGAAGTTGAAAATAAATTGGTTATCAAAATCGATCAAGACAATCGGGCTTCAAAGTTTTCTGTTGCAGATGATGTTTCAGAAGTATATGGTTTACCGGGAATTCATGAATGCATTAATGGTCAAAAACCTTTAAGAGCTGTAATCGATATCGATGCTACATATGATGATATGAAAGCAAATGGTGTTAAGTCTGATAATGTATTCATTCAAATCTGTTGCCTTTTATAAGAGCTTTATATCGAATTCTTGACTACAGTTGGGAAAACATTCTCAAAGGATTGGTTATCACTACATCATCAGTCCTTAGCAAGTGTAGTTACCATATTCTATATGTATCAGCTCTCCTTATCGATCATCATGAACTCAAAGCATTCACAGAACTAGTACATACCTTAACCGGGAAAAAGTTTGGCAAGTATATTGATCAAGGATTACCTGATCAAAACTTTAACCTTCGCCTTATTAGTTTAGCAAAAAAGGTTGTGTGAAGCGTATCCTTCAGTTTTCTCTTGATAATAACTGGAATAAACTCAAACACGCTAGGGTTCAACCACCTACTAGCTTAGGACTTGAAGTAAGACCTCGCATTCTTAGCGTGAAAAAAAATAATAATCCATTACCAAAGGTAAGTCATGATATATTACAAAAATATGCAGATCTAGTCTTAAAAATTGGACTATCGAAGAAAAGGAAGAGACGAAGGAAAATTTTATATATTTTAACCGAAAAGCTTCACTAGAATGTCCACTTTGCAAAGGTTTACATGACAAGGATCAGCGGTGGTTCAGTCGTGTATGTGTTAGCAGTGGAAAATTCATCATAAAATGCTTTCGACAGAATAGTGATGAACTAGGGGAAATTTTTGAATGTGACCCATCTATTGCAGAAAAAATTCGGCAAGAAAATAAAAAGTTTCTACAATCCTTTCACAAGGTTAAGGTTCTGGATTTCACTAAAGCCTTCTTAAAATTCCCATCTTGGGTCAAATATAATGACCTCTTTACAGCTACAGAAATGTATGAGGAGAGATATGTAAGACCATTACCTAATAAAGGCGATATTTATGTGGGATCACCTTGGGAGACGGGAAAAACATATATTCTAGAGTATCTTACTATATCTGATGATGTGAATTTACTAGTATTATTCACGCGTCACTTCTATTCGAATGCTGTTACTACAAGACTTAATCTCAAATCATATTGCAATATCAATGGTAATATAAATCTTTCTGATCACAAGAGAGTTGTGTGTTAGATAGAAAGTTTACATCATATTACTAATAATTGTAAATGTAATAAAAAATGCAAATGTCTTCCAATTCAATATGACTTATGGCTTGATGAAATAGTATCTATAATTACTCAAGCTCAAAGTCGTTTAGCAGGGCAATCAATAGAGAAATTATATAAATTAATCCAAGAGGCTAGACGTATTATTGTCATGGATAATGACCTTACTGATCTTAACATTGAATGGATTAAGATCCTTCGTAAGAATATACCTTTCTCTATTATTCATAATACTTATTAGCCTCAGAAAGGCAAAATATTCTGCTTGGCTCCTAATAAAGAAACAGTATTAGCTGAACTTTGGGATTGGGCTAAGCAGATGATTTCACTATCTTTTGAGAAACGGAAAAGTGCATTACTTATTTGTCACCTTAGAAAGGATGTACAAGGGATAGTTCGTGCTCTTAAGACCGATTTTTCAGAACTACGAATCAAGGAATATTATGGTGAATCAGATCCTGAGGAAAAGGCTCGCGATTTTAGCAATGTAGAAGAATCTTGGAAAGACTTAAACCTAATTGCCTATACTAGCACTCTAAAAATAGGAGTATTATGTACCAATCCTAAGTTTGAGCGGGCATTCTGTCTTTTTAATAGCTTCATAGAAATAAACGCTAGAACGAATCAAATGTTATTCTGTATGTGATGTATTAAAGATTATATATGTCATATTGAGTAGAGATCTTCTAATATTCCCATTATAGAAAAGGGATTATTTCAGTGGTTATTAAATGCTAAACGTGAATGTCTTCCACGAGAACTTCAGAATAGAGGGATATTGATTCTATTATCTGGAATAAAGATGTACCAACCATTCAATTATGGGTAGCATTCATATTAGAGAAATTTTGTTTTCAACGATTATTTGGTTGGAGAATGATCGATTTTCTCAAAGAGGCAGGTATGATAATTTCTATCATAGAACCAATTCTTAAGTCTGATAAAAATGTTGTATCATTATCTCAAACTGTGGAGGTGAATTCTTCTATTGTTAAAGCAAAGGAGATTTCAGATATAGCTAATGCTAATATTCTCGATCGTGAGACTGCTGAATTTTTAGAGAACAAGCCAAAGAAAACTTTAAAAGAGATACGTTCTTTAGACCGACATCACATTGCAGATTGTTATGAGATTTCTCCTGAATTATTGACTGAAGACTTTATCTCAAAGTATGGGAATTATAAACATATGAGATGGTTTAGAGCTTATAGACAAATATGAGATGCAGGTATAAATAATGAAACTGCTGTTAAAGCTATCACTCGTAAAGATTATAGAGAAGATAAGCTTACAACTGTTACTCTCGCTGAGAAGCATCGAATTTCCCTGGAATTACTAAAAATTTGTATACCCGCTAAAGATATCGATAATAGGATAAGATATAAAACTGATGATGTAAGAAGATGCTTAAGTACTCCTGAATCAATATCATATCTTCATGATTTAGTTCCTAAAATGACTCGAGTATTCGATAATACAGAGACATCACACAGTACTAAACAATCAGGTTTGAAAACAGATTGAGCAAAACTTAGTTTACTGAACTCAGTACTACATGCAACCTATGGGTTAAAATTTAAGACTATAGACAAGAATTGTAGATATTACCACTTAGTAGGTTCATTCGATAGTAAAGACGCTCCTAGATTACCTTCATATCAAACGGGTGAAGAAATTTATTGGAAAAATGATAAAGATACTCGATATGGTTACAGTAAACTTTCACCTGATGAATTAATATTAGATAACCTTACTAGTTCTAGTAAAGTAGATATCACGCAAATTACAGAAGATATTTAGGACTTATTCGATATATACTAATACTATTCGATTATGAAACAGAAAGGTAAAGGCTTCTTCCATTTTAAATAATATAATTATGGAAAAGCCTTCACTTTTTTAGATATATATATAGATCATATTTGTATGAAGTCTTCTCCCATTTTTATATAATATAATTATGGAGAATACTTCATCTATTGGTATATATTATTAAAAAAATATTTATATCCTTATCAGGATTCATAGTCATATACATTCAAGATATGGATTTTGCCAAAATTTTATAAAATAATTGACTAATAAAAGGAATAATAATTTTTTTTTCTCACTTCTTGGCAGATAATTCAGAGGTCTTTATAAGTTGAAAGCTCTCATCTATATACTTCTATCTCATCCGATAATTCAGTGCATGAAATCTAGCAGAGTGTTTGGACAGCATCCTGTAATAGAAGCAGTAGGAAATCCACAAACAAGGCATGGTTTTTTTTCCAAATTTTTTTCATGTAATGTCTAATGTCTTGCACATCCAGTAGTACGAGTACATACTCTTCCACAAATAGTATCATTTCTCATGATATGTGAGCAAGTAATACGATCCATGTAATTATTTTAGGATATAGAAACCTTTCAATTTTATTGCAGATTAATTTTATAATAAATGTGTATTTAAATTATTCGGTAGTAAAATAAGACATAAACATCTTTTCATACTTACATTGTAAACGTAATGCAAAGAACGGTACTTAATATACTAACCAGCCGATGGGTCAACCCAAATGGGAAGCTATTTCAGAAGCTAATCCAAGAAGGTTACAGATACGCTAATAGACTTTCAGATTATTTAGAAGATATTGGAAGCATATATATTGATGAATTCGAATTAGATCCCTTATTTGATTTCCACTATCCAGCCCTAATTCCACCTTTATCTATTCTAGCTAGTAGATCAGATATTCATAAAAGGTTTCCTATTAGTATAGAGTCAACTGTAATGGGAGGAATAAGTCTATTTACTATAGAAAAAAATAAACGATCCTCACTTCAGAATCTAATTCAAATGAATTATTCCAGTGATAGCTTGTCTACATTAATAGGAATAACTTGGGAGCGTAAAGAGACAAAAGCTTGGAGAAATGATATACTTATAAAACTCCTCTATCACCCAAATTTAACTCCTTCAGGGTATAGACCGGGTGCTTTATATGATGCATTAATCAAGACAGATATTTTAGAACCAGAGCATATAATAGCTCTAGTGCGAATATTTTACTAAAATATATTTATAATGCAAATAAATCAGTACATAGCCTTGGGATGGGGTCTCATGACTATATATTTTTTTCACATATCATATCTACCTGCAGATTTCAAATTGATAAAATATCCTTTTTGACTAGGTCATAGGTTATATTATTTTTTCGCCCATCTGACTTTACTAACTATGAACGGATTCTAGAGGGATCACGTAGTGAATTATCAGAATAATTTTTTTCAAATTGAAAATAAACATATTAATATAACTAGGTAGCACTTACAATCTGGTTATATTATCATGACCATTAAAACAAGCGTTCTAAAGACCCGAAAGCCTAAAACTAATAACTTTATTCTAATTCTGGAACAGCTCTTAAAAAAATATAACTTATCTGACAAGTCTACCCTAGAACAATTAAGCGAACATGCTTCTGAACTTGGCACTTTACTCCCAGACTGGAAGGCCCGTAAGTGTATTAAAGATGCCCTTATCAGACACACTGAAAACAGATGCGCATTTAGTAAAGAACAGATAGAGGCTCTCGTGTCAAATCAGAGAAAGAGTAACGGTAAGCTCATTATAGAGTAAAGAGCGGAATATTGCACTAAGGCCGGTAATACTATGGATATTTTCGCTCATCATTTGGAATTAGGCCCAAAAAATAATGATGAAAATGAAATAATTGCTAGTTGTTTACGCCAGTCGCAATTCTGTGTGAAATTAGAAGAAGCAGGGTAGATCCTAAAATTATTAATTCTGTGCCAAAGATAAGGATTGTATCCAAGAATTTAATAAAATTCAGAAAAAGTGAACTAAGAAATGAATGGCTAAAGCGCCAAGGATTCCAAAACATTTCTCCTTAGCAAACATGCAAAAATGGATCCAGAATATGGATGTTACTAAATCTCCTACTAGAGATGATCTCACAGATGTAATTGTAATGTTGAGTATGAGGCCTGCGGAAGTAAAATCTCTTCAGATTAATCATTATGAACTGGATCTATCGAAAATACTGGCATGGTATAAGGAAGATTATTCTTGGTATTGCACAGGTTATCTCAAAAGCAGAGGAGAAAAGAAGAAAAATCCTATACCCCGCCCATTTCTTTCTATAGAGAAGAATCCAGAACGCGCAAAGGAATTGCTCACCTGGATTCAAGAGGCAATTAAGGTTAAAAAAATACATGATCCCATTTATACTGAAAGCGGAATACGTAATGACACACCTTTTAACAAATTCTTAAGTCACAAGCCTTATAAATCTCTTCCAAGACAGTTAAGAGATTATGGAAAAAGACATGCTTCTATAATCCATGGTGGTAAGAATTCAACTCCTGAATATTTTAAACATCTTTCGAGAGTCGCACTGAGACAAGAATCAGATCGTCTTGATGCAGGGATAATTATGCTATAGGCGATACAGAATCAGAAGACTCTAGTCCTGAAGATGGACATAACTCAGAGCCAGAATCAGAGTCTGCAAAAGATGATGAAATATCTGATATTATCAATATGTATAGTTACTAGCAACGCGCTTTCGCTAAATTTTGCTAGGTTTCAAAATCTATGATTGAGGGTTATTTTTTTCCTTATCCTATCTATCTGCAAATTTCAAATTAGCTGTAAGAGCTCACACTAATCTACTTATTATTAGCATGAATATCGCAAAAGTAATCCCAAAGGTCCGAAGGAAATCAAAAGCTAACGACTTTAAATCGATTCTAGAACAGTTCTTAGAAAAATATAGCTTATCTGCTAAGTCTACCCCAGAACAATTAAGTGAACATAATAAAGAGCTTGATGCATCACTACAGGATCAGAATGCCCGAAAATGTGTTAAAGA